TGAATACATTAATATAAATAGAGATACTAAAATAATAAAAATATTTTCTTTATGAGCAAATTGAAAAAACATGTATTTGCCTTGAACCACAAAAAGTAACTTCAATTTCAAATAATACCTTCAAAACATTAGGTTATATAACATAAGGTATGTCCTTTAGTCTGTACGGTAATTAAGTATAAATTATTTCATATTTTAGAAGACATTATAAATAACCAATAAATTAATATTATACAAGAAGTGCCAGAACTTGAACATGACGATGTAATAGACTAGAGGTTCTCAAAGTGGGTGACGCGGCACCCTCAAGTGCCTCAAGAATTTGCCAAGCTTAACGTGAAACATCTAAGAAAAGTCGAAAAACCTGCCGCTATGCCACTATCCATTCGAAACGTGTTGACTTTTGTACTTGTGTATTCTCGATGGCCACCGAGAAACAAACAGCCGAATTCAACCGACGCGACTACTACCTGTATTCATTCCACAGTTTAATTCTTGTAGCCGATAAGTGAGTTTAGTAAAAGTTAGAGTTAGATTTCAAAGCAGAAGTTTTAGATATAACTGCAAAAGAAAGTGACGACATAAGTAATTACATATATTGATTGAAATAATTATTTACCCTGGTTTGCACTACTTAGTTTGGAAAATACCTTTCATTGTTGGCAATGTTCTGCTCTCTTTTATTTGGGACATTTTTTTATTCCAGAACAATGGAAAATTGGCTGAAATCTGGGTCTTTGAGAAGGAGATATAGTAAAGTCAAAGAAGTATTTGAATCAACTGATTCAGTGACAACTAGCAGTGATGAAAAAGATGCAAATGTCTATTAGATCTATTCGAGGCCAGCCTATCCAAGTTGTTCTCCCCCTTAATCGTGAAAGAAGGTTCCTTACCAAAAAGAAATTTGGGAAAAATAAGTAGGTATGATCCTAGCTATGTCATGTTATATGGCTTTATTCAAGCTGGCAACGAATAGGCACCAGAAGACCAATGCGTTAATTGTCACAAAATTGTTGCTAATGGGTGCTTGGTTTCATCTAAATTAAAAAGAGATTTGGAAAATAATCATCCTGGTTTAGCCGATAAGGCCAAAGAAACCTTTAAACGTCGTGCTTTATTTCATCAGGCAGGGTCATGCATGATGAAAAGAGTCTACAAAAATGAAAACGAAAACGCCACTGAAGCATCATTTATTGTTAGTTTGCACATTTCAAAAGCTGGCAAACCCTATACCATTGCCGAGGAACTGATTAAACCTTACGTGAAGGATGTCGCACAATGCAAGTTAGGTCCAGATACGACAAAGAAGATTGATAATGTGCAGATGTCAAACAGCAGTATAAGCAAGATAAAGAATTACTATTTAAATGGGAATAAGTCACAATTAAAGGTTAAAATAATTTTATTGACGTTTCAATTTCAAATTCGGAAATCGTCCTCAAAATACAAACATAGTAAATTAAACAAATTTTGTTTTTTTTTTTTGTTTAAACAAAAAAAAATTGTTTAATTTACTATGTTTGTATTTTAAGAATGATTTTCGAAGTGGAAATTAAAATGTCAATAAAATTACTGTAACCTTTAATTGTGGCTTATTCACCTTTAAATAGTAATTACTTTAAAATGCCACAAGAAAGTAGCTTCAGATCAATAGCAAGAGAATTCACACTATTTCAGACTTTGTAGAGAGAGAGCTTATAAATAGATTTAAAACTTGTTAATTTTTCAGTTTACAGCTTTCATTCGGGATGAAAATAGAAGAATTTCTTATTTGTGAAAAACTTAAAAGTTATGCAACTGATGAAGAAATTTTCAAGGTTGTTCACGAGTATATAAGAAAAAATGACATAGAGTGGAGTAAATGTGTGGATATTTGCAGTGATGGAGCGGCTGCAATGGTTGATAAAATTAGAGGGGCGGTGTCTAAAGTAAAGGTAGTGACAGAAAATACCTCCAGTAGTAATTGTTTCTTACATTGCCATTCTTTGGAAACTAAAAAGATGCCGCAAGATTTAAGAGACGCATTGGATGGTTCTATGAAAATAATTAACCATGAAAAGAGCCGTCTGCTTCAAGCACTCCCTTTAAAGCTTACCGCTGAAGATATAGAACAAATTAAGGGAAACTATTTGAACTTAAAGATCCACTGATTATTACATTTACAATGGAGTCTTTAATCCAAGAATTAAAAGATGTCAATTGTCTGCTAAAATTGGGATACCTTTCAGACATCTTTAAAATAATAAATAAAACCACCACTTCGCTTGAAGGCAAAGGAGAAGCATAATTATATAAAGTCAAATCCTTGGGTAAAAAAGGTACATTTTTCAAAGCAAGAGGAACCTCACAAATTTCTCTCGATTTTCGATGAAGTTTTTCAAAATCTACTTGAGATGTCGCAGATGACCATCTCGCACGAGGGTTTGTAGAGTAACTGGATAAGTAGGACATAAAAACTTACTCACCACTTAGATATTTGGAACCTACAGGTCGTCTTCCTTGACAGCATCTGTCAATAGCCGAGTATCAGATGATATTCATTTTCATGAGATGGAAAAAAGAAAAGGTGTGTGTCTAAAATATGCAAATCTGTATTTAGTACAATGTGTTTAAAATGTTATATTGGACTATGCACTTCTTGTTTTATACCGTTTCACTCCTGATAGTGTAAATTTTTATAATATTAATCACACCGATTTTTTTTTTGAATAAATCTCTAGTTTTGTTTTATTGCTTACTTTACTGTATTCCATACGCTTCAATTTTTGGTTTATTATTTTCAACAAAAACTAGGTAGTGTAAGCCGCCTTGCGTAGGTTTAAGGTAACACTTAATATCTGAGACATAAAATATATTAGAAAAAATATTTTTCCGCAAATCGCCAGGAAATTTTGACATTCCTGTCAAAATTTCTTGAAGAAAAAGTCAGGACTTCCTTACTGTAAGGAAATGTCATTTCCTTACTGTAAGGAAATGATATTTCCGTACAGTTGTTAGTGTTCTACATAAATGATAGAAAACACATTGCTTATAAGGAATTAATTTATATTTTGAAAACATCAAGTCATTGCTGAATACATTTTTAAGATCAATTTGTTATATTTACAGTAATTTGACAGTTAGTACAATTATTGAACATTGGAGGAACACTCTTAGAACTATGAGAAACATTTTGGACAACATGCAGGGTGGAAGTGTCATTTTGTTGAATATTTTGTACTGTGAAAATTTTATTTGCCACCTCAACCTTATTGTTAAGCGATTCTTCGATATATCCTTCAGCAACGTTTGATGACTTCCATCAGCCATGCCTCTTTAAACTAGTTATGTCGGCACCAGAGTCAACCAATATTGTTGCAGAAGACCGACGAAAGCAGTGACCAGTATATTCTGTCGGATTTACCAAGTTCAAATAAGTAGCAATTATTTTGGGCATTTTTCTAAATTGATGAATTCCTACCACTTGTCTACAACCCTTTCCGCTTTGATATTTAAAGAAAAATCGGTCACTGTTCATATTTTCTGGTCTTATCAAAACATACTTTCGATAAACATTCAAGTAGATCTGATTAATTACAAATGATCTTGGTTTGTTGGTTTTCGAATCAGGTATGCTGATTAAAAGCTTAGATTCTAAGTCTTCTATATCGTGTACAGTCATTCGGACTAACTCATCCATTCTAGAGGCCCAGAATACCAATATTACAGCCACCTAAAAAATAAATAAGCTTAATCTAAATAAAATTAAAACCTTGTAAATTACCTTAATCATTAAATTTTCTTTATCTGGAGCTTCCTGGATAAATTTTTCAATTTCTTCCTTCGTTAAAATCTTAGATTTCTTTGCCCTATAACCTTGAGCTTGCCGTTTCAATAAAGAACGAAGTTTTGAGTATGTAGATATATCTACATTGTGTTTAAGTGCAAGGGTTGACTTCAGCATTGAATAATTGGCCCATAATGTTGAAGATTTCATCTTTAAACAAAGGTCTAGGAAGTATGCCATTACAACATTTTCTGAGAAAGAACTCGTATTTTTACTCATGCGATAATCCATAAAACGTCTGTATGCATTTTCATACTTTTCTTTTGATTTCTTTGGCAATAATTCTAATGAAGCAGTATTCACTGCCTCAACCAGCTCTGGAGGAGTCCCAGGAATGGAAATTTCATCATCACTTATCATTTTACTTTCGAGAACACCAGCAATTAAATTTAAAAGAGTCAAGTTTGACAATTCAACCTCAATACGTTTCCTTAGTAACCCAAGTAATTTTATTAGGAATTTCAAAGCACCATTTATTTGGGAATAAAATTATCGCGTTTTTTTTTAATCAATCAATATCTGTCGAATTTTAAACGATTTGCGGAAAAATAGTATGTTTACCTCGTAGGAAAAGCCACATTCCTGGACTCTGTGTTGCTAAGTCTCGGCTTGCGCCTCGACTTAGCAATCTTCACAGTCGTCCAGGAATGTTAAGCTTTTCCTACCCGGTAAACAATGTACTATTATGAAGTTTTTTGTTACTTAAACATAGTCCAATAATATTATTGCAAAAAATAATACAAAATCGAAAATTTATTAATCTCGGCGCTAATGGGTTAATAAATATAGATGTTGTGTGATTCATCCTATGACACCAATGATAAACCAATGAATACAAACTACACTCATTAATACATTTTTGATAATCTGATCTTAATGTTTTGTCTGTTGTTATTATAGAATATTGACCTTCCAGTATAATATAATAAATAATTAATAGTATTACTTCACTATTTCATTCATAACTTTCTCCCAGTGTCATTGTCTTAACAACGAAAAATAACAACTACCGCAACCTATTCCCATTGCATACAGCATTGCCGCGAGACAATAGACGTAATAATTCTAAAAACCCATCATTACCAGAGCACTTTCACTGAAACTTCGGAACCACTGAAACATATCAAGTATATAAAACAAACACGGGAACAATGCCAAGTTCAAAATATTCGAAATGTTGTCGGGAGTGGGTCTCTTCCTAGTGCATGTACCCTTTTTAATGAAATTCGCTGGTGCAGCTCTAACGCCAAATGAGTCTACGATCGGAGACAGCTTCCGGCAGTGTCTAATATCCCAAACGCCGGCTAATTTGGGACATTGCTTGGGCGTGGAAGCGATCACTAAACTTCAAAGTTTAGATAACAGTCCGGAATTTGATTTAGTTGATGGATTAACTTTGTCTAGGGATGCTCGACAGGAATATAGGGATGGACATAATTTTGCAGAAGGCGATCCTAGCAGTTTCAGGTATTTAAAGTATTTTTAAATATTCTCATCAAATGTGTTATATTTTAATGTAAAATATAGTGAGGGACAAGATCTATGCGAAATTTTAAAAACCGACCTACTGGTAATCCGATATTGATACCTATTGTAACACAGACCCCAGGAAGACATTTACAGAGTTGTACTAGTCTGTATCGAACATATTATCCTGAAACTATTTTCTTGTGGTATTTTAAAGTAATTACTATTTAAATAGGAATAAGCCATAATTAAAGGCTAACATACGTTTATTGACGTTTCAATTTCCACTTTGGAAATCGTTCTCAAAATACAAACATTGTTTTTTTTGTTACGTAGTGAAAAATTCTTCTAATAATTAAATTTTATCTGACTCATTTATATTGACAATTCAGACATACATTATACATTTTAAAGTAGACGACATTAAAATGATATTGACAATATTGTTGAGTTGCGCTCCTGGGACGACTTTACTTACAAGATAGTTCATTCTATTACGTGAAATCAACTTTAACTTGAGAATATCCGTCAGAAAAAATCATAGCATGTAATTCGTCTTTAAAAAGACAAACCCATGCCATCATGACAGTAAAATTCTCCTGTTAGTGATTCCATAGTAAATTATGAAAAAAAAATAGGAAAAAAACATCTCATATACTATCCCGACGTATGGTAAGTATTTGGTCGTGCATATAGTTTAACTTCAATAAACACCAAATTCTGATTTTATATGTTTGTTATTTAAAAACATAAATAATGTCTCATCTATATGTTACTGACTTACTAATACTGGTATTTTCTTTTTAATACCTTCCTCTTTTAATATGGGTAACCGGATCCTACTACATTCTGCCGAGGAATTTGCTACACAATTGGTCTCATTTAGCATAATTAGAGCCGCTTCTTTGATTTTTTTTTACCATCCGTTTCTTTCAGCACTATATTTGAATCATTCCATTGAACCCTTTGTTCATTATCCCATGCGTGCTTACATATTTGAGATCTATCAAATTCTCTATTTTTAATATAAGATTGATGTTCACTTATTCTAACATTTAATGGCCTTGATGTTTCACCTAAATAAATTTGATCGCATTCACAAGGTATTTTATAAATGCAATTCTTTGTCCTTTCTTGTTCATTGTTAGGTTTGGTTTTGGACCAAATAGATCTTAACGTGTTTGTTGTTTTAAATGTTGTTGACATGTTAAATTTATTTACTATTCTTTTAAGTTTTTCCGATAATTCATCTATTCATTATATTCCATTTTTTAATAAAACAGATGTTAGAACAAGCAATTTTGGCTCTGTCGTATAAGGATCTAATGATTCCTTCTTTAATACTAATATTACGATTTCATTTGAAATTTAAATATGTGTTTTTTGTGTGATGGTTTTATATTCACCTGAGTCTCATATCCAGTATCGTTCTTAGAGATTCAAACATCCAGGAAAGGTAGTGTGTTATTATATTCCTATTCCATGGTAAATGTTATTGTATCTTCTTTATCGTTATAATAGATATTATCATTCAGGAATGCGTCCAACAACTCTGATCCATGAGGCCATATTGAGAATACATCATCTACATATCTCCACATATTGTGGGTTTTAAATTTTGTTTACAATTATAATTTGTTTCAAAATCTTTCACAAGAATATAGGCTAATAATGGAGATAAACTAGAGCCCATTGCTAGACCAAAATTTTGTTTATAGAATTTATTATTTAGTTGAAAATATGTATTATTAGTATATAATGTTAATAACTCCATTATAGCTGATATATATCTAGTCTTGTTCTAGTTGCTAATGTATCATCACTCTCTAATTTTATTTTGACTGCATTTAAAGTCTTATCTATATTCGCTATCGTGACTTTATTGACAGCAGCTCTAAATAACGATGTAGTTGATTTTCCATACCATTGCCTTAGATTTTTCAGCCATGATGTTCTTCTTCTACCAGGACCACGATTACCTTGGATCTTTCCCTGAATGATCAGATGTAAAAGATCATATTTTTCAGGGTGTCTCATAATATGACCGAAGTATTCCAGCTTGCGTTTCTTTATTATATTGACCAGTTGTGTTGTTTGGTTCAGCCGTCTAAGGACCTCCTCATTTCTAACTCTGTCGACCCAGCTTATTTTCAGTAGTCGTCTGTATACCCACATCTCAAAGGCTGTCAAGCGTTTAAGCATAGCCTCAGTTAGGGTCCACGCTTCTACTCCATACAGCAGGACAGGAAAGATGTAGCAAGTTATCATACGAACTCTAAGGTCAATGCTAAGATCATGACTGCAAAGTACGTTTCTCATTTTTACAAAGGCAGCTCGGGCTTGTTCTATTCGGCTTTTAATTTCTGCGGTTGGATCCCAGCTCTCATTGATATTACTGCCGAGATACACGAGTTTCTCTACTCTGTCCAGTGTGGCATCTCCGACTTTTATACCGTCATCATGTATATAATTTTGTTTGCTAACTATCATATATTTAGTTTTCTTAACGTTGAGTTTTAGTCCATACTGATCACTTTGTTTTCATTAGATTTTGAAGGTCTTCTCCGCAATTGGCAAGGACTAAGGTATCGTCGGCATATCTAATATTGTTGACGGTTACTCCATTCACAATAATACCTTCGGTTGTCTCCATTAAGGCTTCCTTAAATATTTCCTCCGAATATAAGTTAAAAAGTAAAGGCGACAATATACAGCCTTGTCTCACTCCTCTTTTTATATTTATTTCATCCGACAGTTCTTGTTCAACCTTTATTCTTGCCACTTGATGCCAGTATAGATTTGTAATTATTCGTAGATCTTTATCGTCCAATCCAGCTGTTTCCAATATTTCTAGCATTTTGTTATGTCGGACTTTGTCAAAAGCTTTTTCAAAATCGATTGCACAAATATACACATTTTGATTTATATCTCTGCATCTCTGTACTAGCACCTGTATACTAAACAAGGCTTCTCTTGTACCCAAGCCACTCCTAAACCCAAATTGAGTATTGCTAATTCTGTCCTCTAACAGCGTATAAATTCTGCTGTGTATTACTCGCAGAAAGATTTTCAAAACGTGACTCATCAGACTTATTGTCCCCACATTGATAATCACCGCATGTCTTTGGACGATGTTTCTTAGGTATTGTGACAAATGTCGACTTTAACCAATCAGTTGGTAATATCCCAGTGTCATAAATTTTGTTAAAGAGATTACACAGAGCTTTAATTCCATTTTCTCCCAAAAACTTTAGTATTTCAGCACTTACTTCATCGGGGCCAAGTCCTTTTCCATTTTTTGCCGTTTGTATTGAACGTCTTACCTCACTTTCTGTTATAGATGGACCTGATATAGCAATCGGTGTATAGTGTTCTACTCTCTCATCTTCAAATAATTCAGAAATGTAGTTTTCCCATTCTTTTAACTTTCATTGATGTCTAATATTCTGTGTCCGTTTCTGTCTTCTAAACTTTTAGATACTTGTTTCCATTTGTTTCCAGCGACCTCTTTCAATTTCTTGTGCAGATGAAATGTATCGTGTTTCTTTTCATATTGTTGAATTTCATTACATTCTTTACTATGAAATTGTGTTTTCGCGTGTCTTATCTTCTGCCTGATTATTGCGTGGATCCTCTTGTATTCGTTTTTATCTTTATTTCTGACTTCTCTTCTTTGATCCATAAGTCTCAGTATTTCTTCTGCCATCCACACTTGTTTTTTTCTTGCTTTTAGCGCACTCAATTTTGTTTCTTGAACAGTCTTTAAGATGTCTTTAATTCTCGTCCAGTTTTCCTCAGTACTTTCTTCTTTGCTTGATGTTAACTTCATCTTTTGTTCTAATATACTAGTTATTTCTTATTTATACATATGAAGTCTATTTGGTTACGAATAACTCGTTCAGGTGTATCTGCTGGTGATTTCCAGTGTAAAGACGACGTTTTGGAAGTTTGAAAATTGTGTTCATTATTACTAAATTGCTTTTCTACGCAAAAAGATGCCAACATATCTCCTCTTTCATTTCGTATTCCCAGACCATATTTCCCTATGACATCTCCTGTTCACCTTCACCAATCTTTGCATTAAAATCTCCCATGATAATATTGAGATCGTGTTCCTTTGTAGGTGCTAATACTTTTTCTAAATCATGATAGAATTTTTCAATTTCTTCTTGTTCATAGTGTTGTGTGGGTGCATATACTTGTAATATGTTCACATTGATTGTTGTTGATTGTATTTGTATCATCAGTATCCTGTCTGAGAATAGGACGACGTTTTTTACAGCTTCATCTGTTTCCTTCGACACAATTATTGCTACACCATTTTTGTGTTTTGAGCTGTCTTCTCCTGAATAGTATACAATGTGGTCATCTACAGTTACTTTTCCATGTCAAAACTTACCAAAGTATTATTTTAATTTAATTCAATATTAAATAATTTATTTAAAAAATGTTGTGTATTTTTTATAAATGTGTAAATAAACGATTGTATAATATTTAATAAAAATTTAGATAGTTCACTACAAGGAGAATTTACGGTAATACAAATGGGTCTTAGTGGTAGATTCGTTTTATGAACTTTCGGTACTCCATAAAAATTAGAGGTCTTACTATAATGAGGTGTAATTAATCTTCTCTGATAACTTGTTAAACAATCTTTAAACTTGAATTAAGTTCTATATAGTCTGTTTTACAAAGGCTTTGTTGGATTCCTTGTAAATTTTGCATAAGGTCCGTTTATTATAAGATCTTTAACTCATTTAAATTGACAATTCAGACATACATTATGCATTTTAAAGTAGACGACTTTTAAACAGATATTGCCAATATTGTTGAGTTGCGCTCCTGGAACGACTTTACTTATAAGATAGTTCATTCGATTACATGAAATCAACTTTAACTTGAGAATATCCGTCAGATAAAAATCATAATTCGTCCTTAAAAAGACAAACACATGACATGATGACAGAAAAATTCTCCTGTTAGTGATTCCATCGTAAATT